GTCTGTGCTGGGAGCCCTTGGGGGGCCTCTTGGTCAATGGGCTGGCTTGGGGCTCTCGTGGGCGATCGTGGGGCCCGGCTCGGCCGTCTTGAAGCTTTCTTGAGGGCCTTTTGGGGCGTCTTGAGGCGATCTCGGGGGCTTTGAAACCGTCTTGAAAGCTGATGAAATCCGAAAGGCGAATATGCTAAAATTGTAATATGCTAAAATTGTAAGTTTTACGAAGGGAATGGGACGATGTTTGTGCTTTGAAGGCCCCTTGGAAAGCTTTTTGGGGGGCCTTGGGGGTCGTTTGAGCCGTCCTGACGCAATTGGAGTCCCTCTTGGAGCGCTCTTGTGCTGTCTGGGGCCTCCCTTGAGCCTTTCTGATGACCCCTCGGATCGCTCTGGGTCTGCTGGCAAGGCGTTTGTGGAGACCCGGAAAGCCGGGTGACCTTTTCCAAGGACATCCAAGGGAGCCCGAGAACCCCAGATCCCGGGGGTCCAGTTTTGGGGGGGGGGGAGGGTTTTCCCCCCAACCGGGCTTGTAAAAATATAGGAAGAGGAATATACATACATGAATACAGACAGACAGACAGACAGGCAGACAGGCAGGCAGGCAGGCAGACACACAGACAGACATGCATGCATGCATACATGCATACATACATACATGCATGCGTACATACAAATAAACAAACAAACAAACAAACAAACAAACAAACAAACAAACGAGCACACAAACAAACATACATACATACATACATGCATACATATACATATACATATATACATATATATATATACATATGCATATACATATACATATACATATACATATACATATACATGTACATATACATATACATATACATATACATATACGTATACGTATACATATACATATACATATACATATACATACATACATACATACATACATACATACATACATACATACATACATACATGCATTATCTACATACATACATACCTACATACCTACATATCTACATACATACACACACATACATGCATGCATGCATGCATGCAGGCATACATACATACATACAAACATACATACATGCAGACTTGCTTACTGACATACATACATACATACATACAAACATACATACATACATACACATATACATACATACATCAATACAGACATGCATACAGACAGACAGACAGACGGACGGACAGGCAGACAGACAGACGTACACACAGACAGGCAGACGGACAGACAGACACGCAGACAAACAAGCAGATACACACAGATCTACATACATACACACATACATACATACGTACATGCAGACAGACACACAAACAGACAGACAGGCAGGCAGACAAGACGGACAGACAGACAGACAGACAGACAGACAGACAGACACATAGACACCCAAACACACACACACACACATACACACGCACACGCACACATCCATACATACATACGTATATATATATATATATACATGCATGCATACATACATACATGCATGCATGCATGCATACATACATACATACATGCATACATGCACACATACACACATGTACGGTCATGCATACATGCGTACATCCATACATGCAGAGAGAAATAAGTAGTGTGTATGTTCACCAGTTAGATCATAAAATGCAGAGCGAGTTTAGAGAGCATATACACTTAACAGGAGAGAGAGAGAGATATAGAGAGAGAGAGAATGAGAGAGAGAGAGAGCAGGGGGCAGGCGCTGAGTGCCTGCGACAATCACCACAGAAATCCACTGACTGAGGTTCTGCTCAGGTGTAGCAGTGTCTGCTGCCTTGCACGAGCGGTCGCCATACAGGACACCTTGACCGGGGTCTTGGCTATCAGAGCTGGCCCGTGCACGAGCGGTCGCCTTGTGCTTCGGAGAGCCGGCGCCGGCTGTCCTGAGGAGCCCGATCCGGGCGCGGAACCGGACGGAACGAGCGCCGACACTGCCGACACAGGGAACCCAGGAGTGTGGAGGGAGGGCGCGAGAAGCGAGGAGGTCAGGAGGCAGGCGCGGCGCGCAGAGAGGTAGCGTGGCCCCATGCGGCCCAGGCACGAAGCCGCAGGTGAAGTGGAAGTTTCAAGCAGCAGCACGCCAACAGCAGCAGCAACAACGGCATGTTCCTTGTGAGACTGGTGGTCATCACCTGCTCGCGCGTCACACAAGATGTATAACACGAGCCCTTGACACCCGTCTCCATCGTCTTCGACCACACGCCCTTGGGGAGATATCTCCCTTACCTGACACGTCTAGTTGGCGCAGCCCCTGACTCAAAGGAGGGAAGGGAGGAGGGATCGGCCAACGGGGAGAGAAGAGGATGGAGCACGACAGAGGCGAGGGGGATCGGGAGGAGAAAGCAGGCGGCTGGACCAGACGGCCAGATCGAGCGGGCAAGCGCAATTCAAACATAAATTGCCACGGAGCCTAATCCGAGAGCGTTTGACGCGCAAGACTGGGAGGGGCGATTCCTGTGAGGGGCAATTATTTCTTACATAAAAAACAACCCAAAACAAACAAAAAGAAAGAAAGAAAAAAAAAAAAAAAAAAAAAAAAAAAAAAAAAAAAAAAAAAAAAAACGGGAGAGAAGCCACCACCAATGATTATTTTTCAAGAATGAGAATGCAATAGCCTTAAGATTGTTCGCTCTTAACCGAATACCCCTGGTAATCACACCCAGAAGTCACAAAATTCAGGGTTCGGGGGGGGGGGGAAATGTCTCGTCCCGGCAAGTCGTATGTACGAAGGTAGGGATGACATGTGACTTGGAAAAGCTGAAATACTAAAAATCCATAGCTCTGCCACACATGCAAGCTTTGGGAAAGCTGCAGTGGTTAATTCGATGGGCCTGCCACGCGTTCGCGAAATTGGAAAGCCAAAACGATGAATATCCCATGGCCCTGCCACACGTTGGTGACTTGTGAAAGCTGAAAAAGCGAGAACCCCATAACCCTGTCACACGTTCGTGTTCGGAAGGCTGAAATTGTGAAGAACTCAAACATATGCCAAACGTCGCGGAATCTACTCAACCTGAGAAGATAGCAACTTCGATTCGTACTCATTTCCACCGACTAACTGCTTTCGCAAAAGATAATCAACTTTCAGGCTTTAAGGGGGGATGCTTTATTCGGTCCGCTGGATTATTTGTTCGCGCGTCACTCAACATGCAGACCGCGCCCGCCCAAGTCACCGCCTCGCACTGAAGTGCCCGCGCGTCAGCGCGGGCTGTGAGACGCGCTGGGAAGTCCCCAGCGGTCAGCGCCACCGCGGCCGCATCGGTCGCGCCAGTAGATGGTCACTTTGCGCGCGAGGCTGTGTGCGCTAGCGCGGCCGCAGCAATGCCCCAGCCAGCGAAAGGCAGGCTTCACAATTGCCGCCTCATGGGTTTTGCTGACCACGCTGCGGGTGGGTGGGCGGGATGATTGCGCGAGCAGTGGCGTTGACAACTCACTAGCGAACATTGGTTAGTAGCACCGCAAGTATCGCGCAACATCTACTGTACCTCATGAATTGCACAACGTATATTGCACAACCTATACTGGACCACAAAATTAGAAGGCACAACGTAGATCGAACGACACGGACTGCACGACATAAAGACTGCACAGCATAAATAACGCCATGCTATATATATACACATGTATATACTATATAAATCAATAAATAAATAAATAAATAACGCCATATATATACACACATGTATACAGATGTTGCAGCACACAGGTTGCACGACTTGCTCGACGTACACTGTTTAGGGGCCCACGCTGGCCAACATTCTTTGAGCATGGGAGCTCAACAATATCAGTCTGAGGCAGTTCGCTCTTCGTTGCTCGCGTGCCGATCAACGTATGACTACTTACCCCAAGAGCTCGGCACCCGCCAGTTTCTTCCCAGAACGGACCCCCTTGGGGGGGGGGTCCCTGTGTAAATCCGGACAGGGCAAGAGAGGCGGCGGCCTCTGCCTCGAGTGGACCCAGGCCGCGGGCGGCGTGGACAGCGAGTCCTGCTCAAAATGGAGAAGATCCGCTGTTGGGCACTGTACCCACACTTTCCGTGCCCCCTTCGTTCGTGCAGAGCTGGGGCGGGCGGGCGGGCCCCGACGGGCGGGCCGGACGGGCAGGAAACCGAAGCGGGCGGGCGGGCTTCCAGGCAGGAGAGCGGGCGGACCCCCACGGGCGGGTCGGGCGGGCGGGCGGGTGGGCGGCAGGGCCCTTTGCGGGCGGACCCTCACGGGCTGGCAGGGCGAGCGGGGCTTTAGAAAAGCGCGGGGTGGCTGCCGAGCAAACGAACGGGCGGACCCAAGGGTCGGGCGGGCGGACTCTGACGGGCGGGTCGGTCGGGCGGGCCCCAAGGGCAGGCTGGGCGGGCGGACCCTAACGGGCGGGCTGGGCAGCCGCGATATCAGGGGCGAGGTTCGAGCAGAGCGTGGGGGAGTCCCTGGCGACAGGGCGAGTCCTAGATGGAAAGTGAAGAAGTACTGGGTGGAAGTGCAAGTTTGGTTAACAAGAACACGATGATTCAATCAATTGTCTCAGGCAAGAGCGCGCTCATTCAGTAAGTTGCGAGGAAGGTTCGGGCGAGAGTGAGAATTCCGTATAAACTGCAAGGAATTTTCCAGGCGGGAGCCGTTGATATCGTCGCTGGGGGCCCAGGGGTCGCAATTTGAGGCTCAAGAACTTTCTTCATTCGATGTATGAAAAAGGTGCGCGAGCGTCGGCGGGAGCAGATGACTATCAAGACGACAAGCGGTCCTATCAAACAACGGGCCCTGGACATTGGGCTTCATCCCGAACCGCTTCTCGACGGCCCGGGCCCAGGGAGAGCTCCGGAGAGCCCAAACTCGGTGGAGAACCGCCAGGACCCCCCTTGCCTTCAGGGCCCGCTTCCTTCGCGGTAAACTGAAATTCAGATTCGACTGCAGTCGTCAGAGATGAGCGTTCACCAACGACCGAGGTCGGGCGGAGAAAGCGCCGAAGGCTGCGCACGGCGCGCGCCCCGCGAGGCTGCTTTTTGGGGGGCGCAGGGAATTCCGACAACAACATCAAGCAAAGAGCGCGGCGGGCATCTTTAGAATCCGCCAGCGTCAGTATTGAGCACTGCGCTCAGGATTGCAGCGCGGCGGGTGCTGCCAGGAATGCCACCCTGGCACGAGGTGCGGGGAGGAGGAGGAGGAGGAGGAGGAGGAGGAGGAGGAGGAGGAGGAAGGAGGAGGAGGAGGAGGGGAAGGGGAAGGAGGAGGAGGAAGAGGAGGTGCCCCTTGCTTGCCGCTCCACTCTCACCCCCTGGAGCCCTCTGGGCTCCGACGGGGGCAGGATCGGCCTGCATCGGGCCCCAAACGTCGGATCGAATCGGAGCGGGCACCGTATCGGGGCGCAGCGGCACGGAGGCGGCATCAGGTCGGACCAGCCGCGCGAGGATGCACACCAGCGCCGTGCGAGCGTCGGGCCGCTCGAAACATGGAACTCGAAGCAGATCGGGGCGCCTCGAAGCGGCATCGAATCGGATGGATCTAGTCGAGGGGGGCCCTGCGGGGGCAAGAAGGGGCGCGGGACGCCTGGTCGTCCCCCTCCCCGGAGGCACTGGCCCATGCCTCCTCGGCCTGCTCCTCGTCTTCCTCTTCCTCCTCATGACCCTTCCTCGTCCTAATCTCACCGCCTTCCTCGTCCTCCTTCTCTCTCTCTCCCTCCCGACGTCCCCGGGGGTCTCTGGGGGTCTCTGGAAGTTCGTCACTGGAGGTCCCTGGATGCCTCCAGAGCCTCCAGATCCCCTACAGGGACCGAGAACTGCCGAAAGCTCAGGGGGGTAAACATCCGATAGATCGGCGGCAAGTCCGATAATTAGCGAAACCGCACGCTCCTGGACGGGGGCGGGCTATCGGGCCCCTCTCAGCGATCAGTGTGCGATTGGGGGTCGATGCACATCCCCCTTGGGCTATCCCCCCCTGGCCTTGTCCCTGACCTCGCTCTTCCTTCCGAGGGTCGGCGGAATGGCGCAGGCCACTGCAATACACAACCCGCGTGGGGTCCTAAATAGATGCGAACCTGCTGGGCCCTCGGTCCACTTGCCCCACTGCGTGGCACGGGCCCCAAGGGTCAGGAGCCCAACAAACAACCAAGCAGCGCCTCTGGGAGCCAAAACCAGAAGCCCAAAACCTCATGAAAACTGCCAAAAGAACAGCCGCTGGCGATGGCTTCTGTATAAAATTTGGAGTGCCTGTTTGATTGCTTGCTTGTCTCCTGCCCCGTACAGACGGGTCACTTCGCGATGAAATCGGCGTTGGGTTCTGACACCGCGAGGATCGTTCAGCCGTGCACGGCCACTGCTCTCCTTCGGTATCGACCGCAGCACCGAACGCCCGCGCTGGGTGCGCCGCCGCGTCGACGCGGCGTCGACCCTGCCGTACATCCCCCCCAGGAGCTCGGTGCTGAGCGGGCGCCCCAAGAGGCCCCGACCTGCTGCCCAGGGGTACTTTTGGAGGCCTCCCACAACAGGGTCCGAGCAGATGGGGCCGGAGGAGCGCGCCGCATCGGCGACGTCAGCACGGCACCACATCGCCGCTGCATCGGCGATGCGGGGCAGTCCGCCGACCCCCCCCATCTGCCCCAACCCCATCTGGGAGGCCCAAAAACGCTCCCTCGCCCCCGGGGCAGCTTCCGACGGCCCCCGGGCCCGCCGCGGGCCCCCGGTGGGCCAACCTCGAGGGGGGGGGGGGGGGCACCGGCACGTAGGGGGGGCCTTCCGCAGTGCGGCGGGCGGGCCGCGGTGCTGGAGGCCAGTGTCAATGTCGAACACTGCACTAAGGATGGTCCGGTGGCAACTCATGGGAGTCTCCCCTACCGTCTTGTTGGCAGCGATCAACGCCAATCGACGCTGATCGGCGGCAAATCGACGCTAACCGACGCCAATCGACGCTGAATGGGCGCCATGTCATTCGACGCTAACCCGCGCTGACGACGGAATTCAGACGGTATGCAAAGCTCCCATAATTTGCTACCGCAGGATTGCAATGCGAGGGGTGCTGCCAGGAGTCGCCCCCTGGCCCAAGGTGCCCCCGGCTGTTCGCTCCAGTTTGGAGCCCCTGGAGCCCTCCGGGCTTCGATGGGGGCAGGATCAATCACCATCGAATCGGGAAGTCGAATCGAACTGGCATGTGCGTCGGATCGGGCCGCATCGGCGCGGAGTCGAAGTCGTATAGGATCGGCTGCACCAGGATGCACAGCGAGCGCCATGCAGGCATCGGGCCGCATCGGATCGCCCGAACATCGAAACCGAATCCGTGTCGGGCTGGCCCAATCGGTAGAGAGCGGCCCAATCCGGGGTAACGGTCGTTACCCCGGGGGGGGGGGGGAACGGGCGGGAGGGTAACGGTAACGGCGACCCGGACGTGCACCCGCCAGGGTGCGTCCGCGCCACCGGCGCACCAATCGCCCATGTGCTCCACAGTCTGTGCGTACACGACAATGCCCAATGCCTGCGTGCAACACACCGCCGCCTGTGTACACCGCAGTGCCTCCGTACACCACAACAGCCGCGAGCACCGCAGCACCACGTCGCCTGTGTACACCGCAGTGCCTGTGTAAACTGCAGCAGCCGTGTGCGCAACAGCGCCTCCGTACACCTCGTTGCCTGCGTGTACCAGAACGTTTGCGTACACCACAGAACCTGTGTACACCACAGCAACCATTTGTACCGCAGCGCCTACTCACGCCACAATGCCTCCGTCCACCACAACGCTTGTGTACACCAGCTTGCGAGGCTTCCTTGCGGGGCTCGCCACAGACCACGGAGGCCTTCAGGACTCGTCATTAATCTCCTCCTTCACCTCATCCTCTTCCTCCTCCTGCACCTCCTTCTCCCTGTCCTCTTCCTCTCTTTCAACGGTCCTGGCGGCCTTCGTTGAGGGAGGGGAATACAGAGAAGGGAGGAGGAGCAGCAGGAGGAGCAAGAGGAGCAGCGACAGGAGCAACAGCAGGAGGAACAACAGGACGAACAGCAGGAGCATGCACGTGAGCACCGAAGCATGCCCTCCCTGCACCACGCAGTGCCTGTGAGCTCGGCGCCGCAGCGTGAGGGGAGCGTGCGAGCGTCACAACACGTCTACGAGCACCAAAGCATGACTTGCAGCTCCATGCCATGCCCGTGAGCAGTCCGCCCCCTGGCATGTAGGGGGGGTCAGGTCAGGCCTCCCCGCCCAATACGATCGTCAGCGCTACCAGGGGGGGGGGGAGTTTGGCCCTGATAACGAGCGCTGCGCCAGGGAGGAAAAAAACGCTCGCACGCCGAATCTGATCGATCGGATGGCAGTGGAACCTGCAGGAGTGCCGTGGAGTGGAGGCGCAACACGTCGCATAAACTCAGGCTTGCAGGGCTCCGCGCGAACTGCTTGTACCGGCGCTGGACCCCCCTGGCGCGCGGAGCGCGAGGGAGGGACGGAGGGAGGGAGGGAGGGAGGGAGGGAGGGAGGAGGGGAGGGAGGGAGGGAGGGAGGGAGGGAGGGAGGGAGGGGAGGAGGAGGTGGAGGAGGAGGAGGAGGAGGAGGAGGGGGCCCAGCGCCAATGCAAGAAATACGAGCGGAGCTCCAGACGTCTACGGCCTCTGCCGTCGGCCCTCCGCCCAGAGCCGGCTCCTGCCGGGGTGCCCACGTCGACCCCACGTGTGGGGTCAGCGTCGAGCCGTCGCCGGGCACCAGCAAAGTCACTTGCCGTCGCTCGGCCGTCCCTTTCCCGTGCATGTTTCAGGGGGACGTAAGACCTGGGTACAGGGGACTCGAAAATCCCCGACGAGGTCGTCAAGAAAATGACGAGGCCGAGACTGCATTTTGACGAGGCCTCCCGCTGCAGACATCCTACGAAACTCCTCCTCGTCAAAATCCGAGGCGCGGTCGTCAAAAAACGATGGCGAACCCGAGTCCTGGCAAACCCGGGTCTTACGCTCCCCCGAATGTTTCGGTTTTCGTGAGTGTTTTCGTGTGCTCACCGGTCCAGGATGGTCATCGATGGTCCTCACCGAGAGAAAAAAAAAGCGCACGTGCGAGCGATGCCAAGATCATGAGTGCTGAGGACAGGCGAGGGCCCTCGAAGATGCTGCGTGAGGCAGGCCGCCTGGGCCTTCTGGGACACTTTGGGGATCAGGCAGCATCGCATCGGGGAAGCCTGATCGAACCCGAAGGAACGCCGAATCGGGCCGCATCGGCACGGAGACGAAGTCGGATGGGATCGGCTGCGCCAGGATGCACAGCCGGCGCCATGCAGGCATCGGGCCGCATCGAATCGCCCCAACATCGGAACCGAATCCGTGTCGGGCTGGCCAAACCGATACCGAATCGGATCGATCGGATGGAGTTGGATACTGCAGGACTGAGTGCCCTGGAGTAGAGGAGCCACATGTTGCACGAACAGAAGCTTACGGAGCTCCGCGCGGACTTCTTGGATCGGCGGTGGACCCCCCGTGGCACCCCAGGGGGGCCCAGTGCAAGTCCGAGGAAGACAACGCGGGCTCCGAGAGTTTTTACATGTCTTCTGGCGTGCGTTCCCCTCCGATGCCGGGGGTAGCCCTGGAGGCCGCCTGGGCCTCCTGGTGTCTGGGTCGGCTGCGCCAGGGTGCACGGCAGCGCCGTGCAAGCATCGGGCCGCCTCGGATCGTCGAGTATCGGAATACAAAATCTGGACGCCCAAAATTAGGGGGCCACATGCGGACCCTACCCCTGCCCCCCACGATTTCTGATGGGGAGGGTGGGGTTCACTTCATTCGGGAGCTTCCGAGCGAAGTGAACCCCACCCTCCCTCTCAGAAATCGTGGGGGGTAGGGATAGGGTTCGCATGTGGCCCCCTAAACATGGGTAGGGAACAAAGGGGTACGGTGCCCAACAACAGATGTTGCCCAGATCCAACAGCGACCGCTCCTGGGCAAGCGGCCCTCTGTCTCAAAAAAAGGGCAACGTCCGCGGCGGCGCCGACGGCTGCTCAAGATGACCAGGGAATGCCGCCGGTCTTGATACCCATTCTGTCCGTACTGATACTGGTCGTCCCGACAAACGAGCCGAGACTTAGCTCGGGCGTGTCCCCCTACAGGCGGACTTCGGAGGAGAAGTTAAACGTATACCCAAAACATGCTCAAAAATACTCAAAAAATCGTACCCCGACTATTTTTTACTTTCTTTGAATATTCCTCCTCTAGATCGGCCCGACTTAAGCCGAGACCATCGCAACCGGCATGGAATCGGATCGCCGTCGAGCCGGATGTCTGTCTGCTGGCGTGGCGCGCTCGTCGGAGCGGCCAGGCGGCACGGCGGCGCGTCGCATCCATCGAGTCGGAGTGGGCCCTGCGGGGGTGCACCTGGGGCCCAAGGGCGCCTCCTCTTGTGGAACAGGAACCGACCGTCCCAACATTCCCGTAGGCCCACCACGACATGTTCTCAGAAGCGAAGACTTCTAAAGCAACAAAACCAGCGTTCTCAGAGCATGAAACCGATGGATTCGATTCAAACAACAGCCTCAACCAGCAATGTTCTGACAACATGTCATGCAAACCACAAAAGGTTCTTAGAACATTCTTCAGGGGGCGCACAGGCAAGCCAGGACGCTGCGCCACTGCTTGAGCGGAGGGGCCGGCGAACAGCCAGCGCCGCGCCCGAGAGGCCAGAGGGGGGTCCCCCGCGGGGGCGGCCTCCGGGTCCTCCTCCTCCAGATCCTCCTCGAAGTCCTCCTCTACATCCTCCTCCTCCAGGTTATCCTCGGGCTCCTTCTCCTCTTATTCATCATGGCGCAAGCACTCCTCTGGGTCGTCGCCGTCCTCCTCCTCCTCCTCCTCCTCCTCCTCTCCTCTCCTCCTCCTCCTCCTCCTCCCCTCCTCCTCCTCCTCCTCCTCATCATCATCATCATCATCATCATCATCATCAATCATCATCATCACCACCACCAACCACCACCGTCATCATCATCATCATCATCATCATCATCATCATCAGCATCAGCATCAGCATCAGCATCAGCAGCATCATCATCATCATCAGCATGATCCTCATCAGCATCATCATCATCATCATCATCATCATCATCATCATCATCATCATCATCATCATCATCATCATCATCATCTTCATCATCCTCATCATCAACATCATCGCATCACCATCATCATAATCATAATCATCATCAGCAGCAGCATCAGCAGCAGCATCATCATTACCATCACCATCATCATCAGCATCATCATCAGCATCATCATCATCATCATCATCATCATCATCATCATCTTCATCATCCTCATCATCAACATCATCGGCATCACCATCATCATAATCATCATCAGCAGCATCATCATCATCATCACCACCACCACCATCATCATCATCATCATCAGCATCAGCATCAGCATCAGCATCAGCAGCATCATCATCATCAGCATGATCCTCATCAGCATCATCATCATCATCATCATCATCATCATCATCATCATCATCATCATCATCATCATCTTCATCATCCTCATCATCAACATCATCGGCATCACCATCATCATAATCATCATCAGCAGCAGCATCAGCAGCAGCATCATCATTACCATCACCGTCATCAGCATCAGCATCAGCATCAGCATCATCATAATTAGCAGCAGCATTGTTATCATAATCGTCATCAGCATCAGCATCATCTTCGTCATCATCATCATTGCAGCAGCATCGTCATCCTCATGACCATCGTCATCAGAACCATCATCAGCAGAGGCATCAGCATCAGCAGCATCATCAGCATCATCATCAGCATCATCATCTGCATCATCATCGCCTTCACCATCATAGTCAACATCATAATTGTCATCACCATCATCATCATCATCATCATCATCATCACCAGCATAATCCTCATCATCAGCATAATCATCATCAGCATCAGCATCATCATCATCATCCTCATCCTCATCCTCCTCATCAGCATCATCACCATCATAATCAGCATCAGCATCACCACTGTCATCATCGTCATCATCGTCACCAACGCCACCATCATCATCATCATCATCATCATCATCATCATCATCAGCAGCATCATCGTCATCATCAGCATCATCATCAGAATCATCAGAATCATCATCATCATCAGCACCATCATCATCATCATCATCATCATCATCATCATCATCATCCTCTTGGTCTTCCTCCTCCTCCTCCTCCTCCTCCTCCTCCTCCTCCTCCCCCCCCCTGGGTCCTCCTCCACGTTCTCCTCTGGGTCCTCCTCCGCCTCCTCCTCGAGGGGGGAGGAGAATCAAGGAGGAAGAGGCACATTGGCTGCAGTACATACATCGTGCGAAACAAAAATGCAACATCACGCGGGAGGGGGAGAAGAAGCGGGGGGAGGAGGACGGGGAGGAGGAGGAGGAGGAGGAGGAGGAGGAGGAGGAGGAGGAGGAGGAGGAGGGAGGAGAGGAGGAGGAATCGATGATAGCAGAGGATCGAAGATCGAGGGCGGCTTCTCCCCCGCATGGACAATCAAGAACTCCCAGCGTTACGGAAGAGGAGGAGGAAAGGAAAGATAAAATAAAGGACAACAAAAGGAGAGGAAAGGAAAGGAAATGGAAGGAAAGATAAGAAAATGGGAGGAAGGAGAAGACAAGGACGGGATAAGGAAAAAGAAAAAGGAAGAGAGTGAAAGGAAACTAGAGGAAGAGGAGGAGGAGGAGAAGGAGGAGGCAGAGGAGGAGAAGAAGCAAGCGAGCGAGGAGGGAACCAGAGGAGGAATGAAGAAGAGGCCTCTGTGGAACATGGGTCCCGGTGTTCCCAAGCACCCCCGGCCTATCGGGGCGGCTTTGGCGTCTGCGGTGAGGGCACAACGCCCTGTCTGAAAGAACCGTCGCAGCCTCAGGCTGCCGCGTCGCCCCATCCTCGCCAGGATGGGCCCAGCCCAGCGGTCCTCCTCCTCCTCCTCCTCCTCCTCCTCCTCCTCCTCCTCCTCCTCCTGCCTCTTCTCCTCCTCGTCCTCCTTGTCCTCCTCCTCCTCGTCCTGCCTCCTCCTCCTCCTCCTCCACCTCCTCCATTCTTCCTCAGCTCCTTCCCCCTCTGCCAGCTCGCGCCTAGGCCGCCCAGAACGGCGGCCAGCGTCACCCGTCGGCCTGCCTGTCCGCCCTTGCGGCAGCGGCCGGCATTTCGGAAAACCGGCCCCAGCCTGGCCCAAGCCAGCAGTGGGGAGACTCCCGCGGCGCGGCCCTGCTCCAATTGCAACTCCAACTCCCCTCCTCCTCCTCCTCCTCCTCCTCCTCCTCCTCCTCCTCCTCCTCCTCCTCCTCCAACCGTTCTCACAAATCACGCCTCCTCGTCTGACCGCCAGGACGTGTCGGCAGGGCGGGCGGACTGGGCGGTTCGCCTGGCGCTCTCTCCTCCCCGGTGATAGCCCTGCAGCCTGAAGTCTCCAAGGATTACACAGATGGAGAACAGGTCGCTTCCAGAACGTGGCTCTCTCTCCGCGCCTCGGCCGCCGGGGACGCTGGGCTCTCCGCGGCCTCGTCCGGTTTCCCCCCCCTCCCACGCACAGCATGCTGGATTATGGGCTTAAGTCTCGGAGGTGGATAGACCTCCTTCCCTGACACGTCGATTAGTGAATTGTCCGTTTTCGGTTCTCGAGAGGGCGCCGCGGCCGTCATTTTCCAGGCTTGCGCCGAGCACATTCGCCTTCACAACTTCCAGACACGTTGCAATGCTGGAGGGCGGTCACTTCTCAAGCTGTGGCATCACACGTGTCCTCCGATCTTCGGCGAGCTGCACGGCAGGGAAGGGGCGAGGCCCTTGCAGAACGTGGCTCTTGCCCCAGCGGCGCCGCACACACCCGTCTTGAAAACTTGCAACAAGTGCGCACACGGATGGCGGGCGGTTCATTTTCAGACTTCGCCGGCCCAACGGGCCAAACGCGTGCTCGAATCTTCGGCAAGCTCCAGAGCATGTCTGGTCTGCGCACGGGGAGGTCCCCGGACGAGAGAAGTGCCCGGGGCTCCCAGTGACGCTCCAGGAGACGCAGGGCGCTCCAGAAATCAGCCCAAGAGGGTACCAAGACGGTCCAATTGCGATCCAAAAGGCCCGAAGGTGGCCTCAAGAATCGAAAGATCCCAAGGCAGCCCAGGAACGCTCCAAGACAGCCCAAGATCGCCTCGACCCCGAGAGCGCTCCACACAAGAAGGCCCCGAGAGGGAAGCATAATTGATTCCCGGTCGGTTTTTCAACGATTCTCAAGGTCTTGCCTTTTCGGGCAACCGTCGGCTCAGCCCACGAGGCCCTCAAGGTGGCCCCAAGACGGCCCAAGAGGGCCCTTGACTGACGCAGGAAGCCTCCAAGAGGCCCCGGAGATCGCCCCAAGATAGCCCAAGAGGCTCCCAAGACAGCCACAAGACGACCCGAGAAAACCCCAAGACGGCCCAAGAGGCCCCCCCAAGAGGGCTTCAAAGGCCCCCAGGAGAGACTCAGAAGATGGAAACCGAACCGACACGTCGAGCCCTTCCCCGAAATGTGGCCCTCGAGAGCGCCAGCAGGCCCCCAAGAGGCCCCAAAGAGTCCTGACATACGCCCCAATAGGCCATGAAAAAACCCAGGAGGCAAGAGGTACAAATCTGGCGACAACAGAATTATTCCTCACTTACAGCAGCACAGTTTAGGAAATCCAGTGGTGCATGCGACGTTGATTCGAGGATCATGCGAAGATCAGTCTGAATTAGTTGCGTACGAAATTGCATCCACAGTGTGACACAGTGTAGCACAGGCGGGAAAGACGGCTTTGCAACAAAACTTCCCAAACTCTGCAGCCGTTTTTTGCCTCAGAGGCACCGTAAGGGGCCGTGCTAGCAGCACGCATTTACTGTACACGCGTCGAGTCCAGGAAGAAGTCCTTGTGGGCAACTCCCGGTTCGCCCAAGAGGGCGGCCGCCCGCGGGGCCGGGAGGAGGCGCCAGGGCGCCGCTCACTATTAGTCGCCTGACACATATAGGTTGCCAACCCTTCCTCACTCGGACGAATTCTCTGCGATAG